GAAACGAGCTGCTGCGGCGATGATGGGCGTTGCTGTTAAGACAGACCTAACCGGACCTAACCATGATCATTTCTCAACGTGCCTTCGTCCTCTGCCTCTGCACAAACGCCAGCATCAGCGCTCACTGCCTCCCGGGTGTACTGCATCGAAGCTGCATCTGGATGCAGACGAAGTCTTCGAAAATTTTGATGGGTTACTTTTCAGGCAAACGATCCTCGTGAAGTGCTGCTAAGCTGCTGCGGTGGCAGGGGCGGGCGTCTCCATATCAAAATCGAAATCGTCCCAACCATCTGCACCTTCAAGAGCCGGCTATCCCGTTATCCCAGTCTGGGCAGAGAATGGTATATGATTACAGGCAAGTTGTTCTTTCACCAGCACGTGCATGTATATATATATACACAGACACAAGCATTCATGGAAATCTATCCGTGTATGTATGTGTGTATATATATACAGATATGCACATATATAAAGGTATGTAAGTATTCGCTCATACATATATATATATATATATATTTATTTATTTATCTATTTTATTCTATTTTAAGGTCTCTTTATTTTATTTGATGTCATTGAATTTAGTTTAAGTTGGTTTAGTTTAATTCAATTATTTTTGGCTAACTTAATTTATGTAGTCTAATTTGATTTGTATAATTTTACTAAATACTTTAACTAACTATTTTATATACCACTAAGACAAATATATATATATATATTTTTATTTATTTATTTATTTATATTTATCTACTTATGTATGTGTTTATCTATTTATTCGTTCGTTCGTTTATGTGTGTCTACAGACACACATAAATATACATATACACACATGCAAGCACATATGATACACAGTCATTTCACCCAGGTATAGCCTCACATCAATACGTTCTAAATGTGGCATGACAAACTCAATCGCAGGTAATTTATGGAGACGCAAGCCGTCATGCAGAAAACTCCCACCTGTTCGCTATGTCTCGCACGCTTGCCCTCCACTGTTGTGCTTGAGCACTCTTTCACCAGATCCTGGGCTATAAAATAATAGTAATTAGCTTCTTCACCCCGCCACATCAATGTGAAGATAAAATATACCCGGCACAGTCTCAAATCATGGCGCACGTCCCCCCCCGCGCCAAACCCAAGCTTGAAATCGCTGTCAGGCCACTGCCACGTATTGTTTCACCTGTTCCATGAGCCGTTGGCGAGCGAACACCTAAATCTCAGTCTGCCCTTGTCCCAGAGGATTGAAACGCGTATGTTCTGCATGCTCCAGAGAGCGGCAATAGCCGTCTCAACCGGCAAGCTCATTCGAATCAATGCTTGTTTCATGCATCGTTTCAAAAGCGTTTCTGTAAGTGTTGCACCCTTCATACTTCCTCTGGCGAACAACAAAAACAAAACATAACCGATTCTACCGAAACCCCTGCTGTGGCTTCAACTTCTTTTGCTTATAGCAAGCATCACATTGTCTAGAAACGCCCATCAAGCATTGATCTTGTCTTTGCCGCTGGAGTCTGTAACACTGTGCCAGGCTGTAGCTTGGACTGCCTGCGCTGACAGCGGCGGGCGCAGCGAAAGCTGTCGTAGGTGCAGGAGCCTTAGTTTCTGGCGATTCGTGACAAGGTCCAAGGTGCACTCAGGCAAGCAACAATCGAAGAAACTAGACTTGAAATTTCACGTGACTTCATGAAACATTGCAAAAAAATATTGGGTCAGTTGTTGCATCGCGCAGGGAGAGGTGTGAGCGCGGGTCCCACTCCCACTCACTGGATGGCAGGCTTCGCAGCTGTCGTCTACGATCATGCTTCACCTCCGAGCTACCTCGAGCTGCGCCAGCTTGGACCGCAGATGGGGCACCTGCCCA